TTACTCACACACTCACTCACACACTCACACACACACTTACTCACACACTCACTCACTCACTCACACATTCACTCACACACACACTCACTCACTCACTCACACATTCACTCACACACACACTTACTCACTCACACATTCACTCACACTCACACTCACTCACTCACTCACACACCCTCATACAGGGGCCCTCTGACCTCTCGTAGATGGTCTTGAGCGTGGCCTGGTCTGGGACTCCGTCGGTCTCCTCCAGGTACAGGATGAGCCAGGACGTCCTGTAGGGCCACTGCTCCGTCAGGTTGATCCAGGACGCCAGGCGGTCCCAGTTGAAGCCGATCTGATTGGCTCTGAGCAGGCGTCCCGTGACGGACACGATGTTGAGCAGCCTCCTCATGGTCTGAGGGCTGATGTCACTGAACCAGTCCTCCGTCACCATCAGCTTCGTCAGGTCGAAGGACATCTGACGGGTCACCGAGCGCTGCACCTGTCTCCTCCGGTACGTGTCCTGAACACACGGTGGTCACATGATCATTATCATGTCACATGATCACCGTCAGGTGATCTGAAGTACTACATAACTACTGTAGTTATACACAACTTTCACATACTATTAGACAGTTTTCCCTGAATGAACGTGAGGAAACACACACACACACACACACACACTCACCCTGCGGTTCAGCGTCGTCTTGCTGCCAAACTTGGTTAATTCTCCCAAACTGTGCTGAGACAGTTTCCTGTCTAACTCCTCATGCCAACCTGCAGACAGACAGAGAGAGACAGAGACATAGAGAGAGACAGAGAGAGAGACAGAGAGACAGACAGACAGTGCTTATAGTGTCTCTACTATGACATCATCTGTTCTTCATGATTCATCACAAACATCAGATGTGAGTGATGTCCCCCCCCTACCGTCTGCGTCCCCGTTGCTAGGCGCCGTGCTGCACATCTTCCTGGCGGAGGACAGTCCTCTGCTGTTCAGGAAGACGGGCAGGTGGACGATGTTCCTCATGTAGTCGTGACCGTTGATGTTGGAGTCTCTCAGCACGCTGTTCAGGTTCTGGTTGATGGCCTTGATGATGATGTGAGGGTCGCTGGCAAAGATGGAGATGAAGGGGCCTTTAGAGAACAGGACCCGGACCTGAGGGGGACCAGCAGAGACCAGGAGAGACCACGTTAGACCAGAGAACACGCTAGACCGTCTACTGGACCGGTCTATCCTCCAGGAGGAGGAGGTAGAGGAGGAGGAGGAGGAAGAAGAGGTAGAGGAGGAGGAGGAGTCTCACCGTGTCCAGCATCTGGAGGACTTTGTCTTGTTCACATGAGTCCAGTCCGTCGATGACCACGGTCAGTCTGGTCTGATGCTGTGTGAAGCTGTCGATGGTCTTCGCCATCCTCGCCATCAGCTCCACCTCAGTCTTCAGCACCTGCAGGACGACGCCACACGTCACGTATACAGCATATATATATATGTGTGTGTGTGTGTGTATGTATACACATATATATACGTGTGTGTGTGTGTGTATACAGCATATATATATATGTGTGTGTATATGTTAGAGATTTAAGGCCTCACCTTCATGAAGCCCTCACTCTTCAGCTTGTGCATCCTGTTGGCGGCTCCGTGGAGCCTCTTCCTCTGAGAGTTCAGCACCGAGTCCGTCACCCTCCACCAGGTCCGGCAGTTGAGCAGCAGAGCCAGACCCACCACGCCGCCCACGGCGATCAGCACGCCGTTCACCGTGCGGTTCTCCCCGTCCACCTTGAACACGGACAGCAGAGCCACGCCGCTCAGCAGGCAGACCAGAACCACAGCGAAGAGGATGAAGGACGGGACGCAGCACGTCTTCTTCCACTTCCTGTTTCCTGAGGAGACGAGAGGAGGACAGGTGAGGTGGGGGGGAGTGTGTGTGTGTGTGTGTGTGAGTGTGTCTCTGTGTGCGTGTGTGTGTGAGTGTGTCTCTGTGTGTGTGTGAGTGTGTCTCTGTGTGTGTCTGTGTGTGTGTGTGTGTGAGTGTGAGTGTGTCTCTGTGTGTGTCTCTGTGTGTGTGTCTCTGTGTGTGTCTCTGTGTGTGTGTCTCTGTGTGTGTGTGTGTCTGTGTGTCTCTCTGTGTGAG